CGGGAAGGGGCGTAGCGGGGGTAAGGGTAAGTCTATCTCCGCCTTCATCCCCGTATACATCCACCGTCCAATACGTATAGTCTATCCCCAGTCCATACGGGACGAGTTTGGAAGAATACACGTTTTTCCTCGGTCCACTGCCATCCGGAATAATATGGATAGATCTCAACCAAAATTTTGGATAGCTCATGATCAAAATTGTGTAATTTAAGTAGCTATTGAACCAAAATTTAAATAAAAATTTGGTAAACAATTATTTAAATTATTATTTTATCCATATTTAGATATTACATAACAAGTTATAATAAAAAATCGATAGCAATTTGAATATTGTCTTTTTGAAAGACCACATAAAAATATATTAAATATTTTAAGGATCAAAACAATACAATCAAAATATTGAAAACTAACATAAAATAAATCCCATACTTTGAGGACCTCAATTACAATTAACCCCCAAATTTATTAGAATAGGGATGAGCATAGGCTCCGAAAAAGGCACTGGGCCAGTCAGTTAATCCTACATATCAGGCAAATACAGGCCCAACTCATAACATGGCAGGCCACAGACAGCCCAAAGATCCATTGATTGGCTTATTTATGGCTCGTAAGGTCCAATTATCTGCCCTGACTAATGACCATGGTAAGACCCAATTGGCATGATAGAATTCAAAAAATAATTAAAAATATTAAATTTTAAACCAAAATAAAAACTATATTGAAAAAATTAGGTAATTTGGAAAAGACCCATTAGAATTGATCCAATAAACATATTGTTGGTCGTGTTTTTTTTTAAAAAGGACTCGTCAATCTAGTACTGTTGATCATTCAACAACCTAGTGGTCAGAACAGGTGACCTGCCCTGACCATTGTTGGCAGGCTAGGTGCCCGCTCGGTCTGGCCTGAGGAAAATGGGCTAGATAGAGAATCTCAATCCCTTGAATTATTATGTGTTGTATAGCGGAACCCAGTCCTTCATTCAATCTCCCTTCATGTTTGCCTCGTAAAAACTGCCCCAAGGTTACCTACCACTTACCTTTTTGCATAAATTGTCATTACATCAGTTTCATTTTGAACAAAACCTAGCAACTTTGCAATGGTCCTGAAATATTGAGGATTATTATAATTTTAAATTATCCAATTAATTGATTCGTGTTCGTTTGAGATTCGTAGCGGTGGGGGGGGGGGGG